GACTTTTTGCTGCAGTGCCCACTGTTTCATGTTATTGGTGTTACTCTGCAAGAATACGGACAATAGTATTTATCTTTCCAGGCTGTAATTGTGCTATTTACTTGTCTGTCAAATCGACAAAACTGGTAGGTCTTAACCCTAGTTGTATATTATACATTAGAATCACCTGAGGGAGTTAAAAAATAAACAGGTTCTAGCCCAGAGATTCCCTAGGTGATTCTAATGTGTAGATAGGGCCGAGATTCTGAGATGCCCTGACACTAGAGTATAAAGGTGAAGGCAGGGGCCACTCCGATGACAGGAGACACTCAGAGTCAGCAAGATTCTGAAACTTGGCAGACCTCCAGCTCCAACTATGCAGTAAGACTGAGTTTCTTAACCTTTTTAAGCCTCAAAATCTTTATCCGTAAAATTAGACCTACCTACTAGTGTGGTTTTGAGGATTAAATGAGATATGATATAAAGCTCTTGGCATATGCCTGACACACAGAAGCTCAATTAATGCTTGTTAAACTAATCATGTTCTAGTCGTGAAAGCCATTTGCCTTGAGAGTTAGAAATTCTGAGTCCTAGTTTCTGGTCTGATGTAAACTAATTTTTGCATTTGTGACCTTGAGCAACTCTGCTCCCAAATTTCCCTTCTGTTCCTTTCAGCTTCAAATTTCTGTAAGTCCATGATATCAGACAGTAAAACTGTGTAATCTTATATTGGTTTATGAAAGTAATATGTAGTCTGAATAATTTTTCCAGAAATTTACAGTTTCTCAAGTAAACTATAAGGTAAAATTGAGATATTCTAAATTGAGTCCAATGTGTTTTTAATTCAAGAGGACTTGTTACATGGATATAGCAGTTTTTGTATCATTTAGTCTTAGATGAATGACTGACACAACATTGTCTACTTGTACTTACAGATTGTTAGGACAACTGCAGATTTTGAGTTATTTTTCTGTATCTGGTGATAAAATTGTAATGTAATAATGTTATTAACAGTTATCATTTATAAGTGATTTACAAATATTAACTCTTTTCATCCTTGCTCTGATTCTATGAGATAGGAGTGATTTGAGACAGAGTGTATCTCCACTGGGAACTTGAACCCAGAAGGCCGACCAGAACCTCCAAACCAGCTAACAAGTTTCCTCTAACACCTGGTTTCACAGAAATATATCAACCACACAAGCTGGGAGACTGGGAGGGGTTGCAGGCATCTCCACTGGAAAGGGGGTGCTCTTAAGCATTCAGATTCTGTCCTAGGTGCTTCTAGTAAGCCTACAGTTTCTTTGCCTAAGGCCAGAGGCCCAGGAGTACAGGGCACCAGGAGACCAGGAAACACTCTGGATGTAGCTTCAGCATCTGCAGCCCCAGGAGCCAGATCCTGTCTCCGTGGCTGCCCCTTGTAGTGGGAACTTGTAGTGGGATTGGAACGCCTGGCTTTTCCTGGGATAAGTACTGGAATGACAGAATCGGTGACTTGGAACCATTGCCATATGCAAGCCCCCTTCAGGCCTCTGATTGTATCATTCGCGCATTTCTCCATACCTGATTAATCTATCAGATGTCTTATTTTAGGTAGAATTGTCATTTGTCGCTTTTTTTTTTTTTTAAAGGTTCTTTTGTCTTCCTTCTGTTCTGCTAGCACTGCTCCACCAGTCACCTCTCCAAAATCCACCTATTCATCCATTCAAACACGCTGCCAGGGGCTTAGTGCTTTTAAAACACCAAGGAGACAGTACACTTCTTAAGTGAATGCTTCTTTATGGAGCTCCCACTCTGGTGCTACAGGGCAGCGGTCCCCAACCTCTTTGGCAACAGGGACCAGTGCTCCTATAAGAATCTAATGCCTGATGATCTGAGGTGGAGCTGAGGCAGTAATGCTAGTGCTGGGGAGCAGCTGTAAATACAGATGAAGCTTAGCTCTCCTGCGCTGCTCACCTCCTGCTGTGTGGCCCAGTTCCTAACAGGCCACAGACCAGTACCAGTCCATGGCCCAAGGGGTTGGAGACCCCTGCTATAAAGAAGGAGTTGGGAAGATCAAAACTACAAACAACGTGGACCCTACCCTCATGGGTTTACCATCCAGTTGGGGTGGTAAACTCTGGACAGGTGACTCAGTAATGACAGAGCTGTCAGGCATGGGGCAGAAAACTCAGTCCTTCCCTTCTGTAGATCAGGTAGGTTATGCCAAGATGACTTCAAGTAACAATTCTGGGTTGGGTTAATGCAATGATTCTCAAACCTTTACACTCAAAAATTTTTTAAGGACCCCAAAGAGCTTTTGTTTTTATGGATTATACCTAGTCTATCCTGTATAATATAGCGTGTATTAGAAAATACAATCGAGAAATTTCCAAAGCACAAGACTATACAAGTGCACAAGTCATTATCTGTCAGAGCAATGTTGTCACTCATACATGATGTAGCTTCAGGAAAATTCTGAACACTTCATGAGAGAATAACATTGAAAATGACAAATAACATCTTAAAATTTTATGAAGAGAGTTATGACTTTGTAGACTGCCTGAAAAAGTCTAGAGGACCCACAGGGGTTCTCCAACCACACTTTGAGAACCTCTGGGATACAGCATATAGGTTCTTGCAGCATCAAAGATTTGAAGATTCTAACAGAGTGCCTGGAAGTCTGTCAAAGCCTTGGTCAGTGACAGGAAAAGCTCTCTTTAAAAATCCTTGGTAAAGTAGGAAAGAGAGAAAGTAACTTTTCCTTTGTCTTTGGTTGTGTTCTTGGGGCTTGCAAATTAACAAAAGCCACATTAGCAGAAGAAAAGACATTTGACGTTAATATTTAATTTTTATGTGCATGGAGGCCTTCATAGAAAAGAGGTGACTACCCAAAGAAATGGGTAGACCAGGTGCTTCCATACTATTTTAACAAATGGTGATAAATTGTGGAGAAGTAACAAGATAAAGGAAAAGGGGTTTGGGCTTCTAGGGGCAGTAAATTGGGGGAAGGTAAATATATGGGGGAAAGGAATAGAAAATAAAGGTTATTTTAGTAAGGTTTGTTTATGCAGACCCACCTGGGCACTGATTTTCTGTCTCAGGGATAAGAATTGTACTCCTTCTGATACAGGAGTGGGGAGGAGGACATGTCCACAAACAAATTTACGTCCGTTTAGGCAGCAGAGAAAAGGGCAAAGACTTCTGTCTGTGTTTGCTGCTGTTTAATTACCTTTAGGTCAAAATTATCCTTTTGTAAAGTAGCATATTTGAGGATAACATATGATTGTACTGGGATCATATTGATCCCCTTCAGTAAATCATAATAATAATGGGCAATACTAGATATTGAGTTAACAGTACCTAAGGTTCTGCCCTCTGGGAAGTCCTGGCACCCTATAACAGTCAGTAAGCCTGAGCAGGTCCACTGGCCGAGGCAGAGCAATCAAGGAAATTCCAGCCAGGAACAGTGCGCTCAGGGAGCTGAAGCGGCCTTGGAGGGGAGTGTGTGGAATGCCAGGCTTCACTGGGGCAGCAGCAGAGGAAACCAAAGAGCAAAGGCCAGCGGGGCCAAGAGAAGGGGCTGGAAAGAACTTCCTGCTCACTCCACAACCCAAGCAGCAGAGCAGAATCCCCACTCCTCTGCCCGAGAGAAAGAGCAATAAGGCTGTTCTGTGGGTCTGGGGAGAAGAGGCCTGCTGGGGAGGCTGACCAGGGAGAAAGGGAAGGACCCACAATGGTGTAGCCAGGTGGGAAATGGGAAGTACCCTGGGCTGGGGAGAGTGGTGTGAGGCAAGTACCTGGTGGGAAACGAGAAGAGAGCACCTGGCTGCTGTGACGCCAGGGAAATGAGAGCTGACTGCAGAAAGGATTTTTCTCCTCTAGGATGATGAGCTCCCATTTCGCCTTTCAGCCTCAGCTCCCTGAACCCCTGGCAACTCTGGCTCTGTGTAGAGCCCCTGTTTCCTAGGCCAGGACCAGTAACCCTTCAGCCACAGGCCACCTGTGATTAACTGGTTTGCTTGCAGAGCCACCTCCCCATTTCCTGTTTATCAAATCCTTCTCACCTCTCAAGGCTCCATTCTAGTGCAGTTCCCCCAGGAATGCTCCTACCCAGTTAAAGGAACCCCTTCTTCCTCTGAGACCCCATATATTTGTATTGGTGGAGAGTCTATCTCTCCACTAAATTAAAAACTCCTTGAGGCCAGGCATCCTGTCTTATAGCATTTGTTTATCCCTCCCAAGGCCTAGCCCAACGTACTGTATACTGTGGGCCTTAATTAACGTCCATGGAAATAAATGGAATTCTGTATATAATTTCTTCTCATCCTTCCTCGCCCTACAATCTGCAAACACTCCCACATCTTGTGCTGACCTAGAACTGCCAGTGTATACTAACTACCACTTTGAGTTGAGTGAGACCTGGCCTAGTGACGGGGAGGGCTGAGGGAGCTGCAGGGGACAAACTCCTCTTCCAGCAGTAGTTCGGAGTGGCTCAACCTGGGAGTGGGCACTTTAGAGGGATCTTCTTTACACTTTTTCCCCATTATGTTTCTCCCTTCCCCACTTCATCTCTTCCTTTTGTTTTGCCTACCGTCCATTCCTGGATCTTCTAACCATGTCACTCTTGGTGTCTCTAGCAACTGTGGCCACCTCAGGAGTACTCAACTTGGGGGTGGGAGAGGGGAGATGAAGTGGGTTTTTGGATCACTCTTTCTGACTTGTGTCCTGCCCCAGCTGACCTGTCCTTCATTCATTATACAAATACTTACTGAGCACCTACCATGCGCCAGGCACTGTTCTAGGTGTGGGGACCCAGCAATGAATGAGACAGGCAGACATCTCCACCACATGGCATCAAAGAGCATCATCATCCCAGATGGGGCTAGGACTGTCTCTGATAAATGTCAGAGGCTGTAGAAGGCATTGAACAAATAAATTGCAAAGTGCAACTTGGTTTTAGAGATAATTGATAGTGGGAATGAAGTTTTGCTCTGCTTACATCTGATGCCTGGTCAGGACCATGCTTCCTCTCTCCCCAGGTGTATGAACTGAACGGGATGATCCATAACCAAGAGTGGTCAGTGAGGACCTACGGAGAAGTGGCTCGTATGTTTGCGAAAGAGCATCCTGGCTTTATTGGACTCAAAATCATTTATTCAGATCACAGGTGAGAGACAACATGGCTGAAACTGCAAGAGTTGGGAGAATGAGATGTGGGCAGAGCCCCTAGGCTGGGAAGGGATCGGGGAGGAGAAAGAGGGGTAAGAAGGGAGGCTGGGGACCAGAGACTCCTCCATGCCGAAGGGCCCTGGGCTCGGCTTGTGTGTTTGTGTGTGAGTGCAAAATCCTGTCTCTGAAATCGCTTCTAGTTTGAATCTCTACAACCAGACTGAAATGAAGAACTGGGGCAGTTTTCCAGATAATTCTAGCTGTGATCCTGCATCTGCTGGGGTAACTCGGTTTTAGGTATAATGTTTTTGCCTGAATGTTTAGATAATGGCCCATTTCTTTGTTTCAACTTGCCACCGGGGTTTCTGCCTAAAGTCAGTCTTGTGATGTGTGTGGGTTTGTACAAGGGCTTGGTTGGTACCAGCCCCTGAGTGACAGCTGTCTCAGCGTCTGTGTGTGGAGACTCTGTAGCAGCATGTGTGTATGT